ACAAGCACTTAAGTGCGCATCATGCGCATGCATGATTGCACGCAGGCATGGCATGATGCTGCGGCTGCCCATCTCTAGGTGTGGAAATATCAAAAAAAGGTGTGAAAATATCAATTTCCTAAATGAATTACCCTATTTATACCATGTGGCAATTTTGTTTTTTCGAATATTAGCCTTTTTTTTTTTGAGTAAGGTAATATTACTGAATATCTCTGATTTCCTTAATTGAATAACATTCAAAGAAAAGTAACTAAAATTAGTTCTAAAAAGTTAAGAATCGGGTAACTATTATGGATAGAGTTGCTTTCCTTACATTTATCGCTAGTTCAAATCTATTAATATACACCAGTTATGTAGTAATGTATCACTATATTAATATGCACCTCGTTGTGTCTAATTCTAAAACCGGACCATGTTCTATCATATAATCCCGCGTAATTTTATAATATTAAATGCCTTGAATCTGTTCTCTGCTTAGATTTTCCGTTCCTGGTTTCGTGTGATGACGTCGCGCAGCTATCTAGTTTTTTAAATATCTCAAAAAATCTAAAAAAAACACTTGCACATGTGCATCTTGTGCAAGCCAATTTTAAACACTGCTTATACTTGCCGTCCAAATCAGTACCCAAAAAAAAACAATTGCCATTTATAAAAAATTAAATGAAAAAGATGGTGTCAATATTTTGTAAATAATTTCTATATGACTATAAGAATAGATTTAATTTATTTAATAATAAAATTTTTGTGAGATTAATTTATCTCGAGTTTGGGATTTGGGATTTGGCGTGGCAAACTATAATAGTTCTCAAGCTCGATATGGGCAAGATAAGAGTTTGTGTTTTTATTATTTCCTTATTTCAGATATTCGAAGAAAGAAAGAGATTTTCGGCTTACTAATCTCTTCTCTTTTCATATTTATATGCTTTTTCTTTATCAAACTATAAATTTACTAAAATATTTATGCGAGATTATGCATAAACTTTTATAATAATCTACCAAATCCGACCTGTAGTTGTCCTTGATCAAAGATGCTGTATACATTCTTTAAAAAGGCATCTCCAATAATCCATTCTGTGTCTGGTCATAAAGGAATTAAAAGAAAAGCATACCTTTAAAAAACATATTCATTATCTGCTTTAAAATATATTAAAAAAGTTTAATATATAGTTACCAGTATCGTCGTCTCCTGTTATCGCTCCATAGCATTCGTCACCGTCTTCAATTTTAAGATCTCTAACATCAATATTCCAAGTTGCACCATTAAATCTCAGGCCAATTACATCTTGGCTGTCACAAGGCAAATAGAAACGCCCGTTGTCTCGCTCCATAACATTTTGCATTTTGCCATAAATTGCCCGAGCATCAGCAATTGGCGCAATTATCAGCGTGGTTCCAGTGTCAATGTTTCCATTACGATTTTGGAATCCCAATTCTTGGCCATTAACAATGCAATCATCGAGAGGAATAAGCCAATGCCCCTGATTATTATCCACCAGATTTGACCAAGTAACTGAATTACTATCATATCTTGATGGATTACTTCCACCAATTGTTAATTCGCTTTCTTTTTTATCTGCATCTCTTCCAAGCATGAAAGAGAATTGTGGTGCACTAAGTGCATTGTTATTTATAAGGTTTGTAATTGGTGTGAGTTGATTGTTTTCACTTGCTGAGCTAAGTGCCATCCCATTATACCTTCAAATTCATCGCGTTCAAAATCATCAGAAAGGATGTTAGCCAATCCAAACTCTTGGTTTTCCACTAGAAAACCACCAGCGATTTCGATAGTGGTAGTTCCTGATACTCCTGATGCTGATCCTTCATCATAAGCGGCATTGAAATTTTTGTCAAGTGATACAAAATCAATATCTATGTTTTGATCGTATTTAAGCTTTTCTTCACACGCGGGTGAATTACAATCTATAGATACAACCCAGAAATCAGCTGACCCTGTATCGAACTGTATATCAAATTTTTGGGCTGAATCTTCATCACCGAAAGCAATTTCCCCAAAATATGCAAGGTCTGGTGATTGTTGTTCTAATGCCACATTTTGGACTGCTCGTTGACGATTTATTAATTTTTTCTTTAGAGGAATTGTATGAATTTTAGGCTTTGCGTGTGGTAATGCATCAACAAATAGAAAAAATGCTATTACAAGCATAAATATATGCAAAGTTTGCATGGTGAACTAAGATTAGTTTTGAGATTGAAAGGTGAATTAATATTAGTTTTGAGATTGAAAGGTGAATTAAGATTAGTTTTGAGATTGAAAGGTTAAAATGTCTTTAAATGAGTGATTATTCCAAAATGAATTTGTTTTCTTGCTTTACTTATATATATTATCAAGTTCCTAATGATCACAAAATGAAATAATCATAGGTAGCTGTGCGATATTGTCGCACTAAACCAGGAACTGATGACTATAAGTATAATTTAAAGGTTATATTTAGTATAACATTCAAGTACATAAATGAGTGCAGTTAAAGTAAAAGTCTACGGGTTTTCATTGCCCAGTTTGCTTACTGAGTGCTGTCTAGGAAAATTTTATCATTGAACTTCCAATTCTATTTTGTGGCAAGTTTGTCACAAAATATAGTTAAAAGCCCGATGATAGTGCTCCTAATTGGTTTGATCTGAACGATCCGAAACTGATCTAGTTATAGTAAATTTATTATATGGGTCATGACCCATATACTAAATTTATTATAGCTAAATTAGTTTCGGATCATTCAGATCAAACCAGTTAGGAGCACTAAATATGATTCTACACTAAATCACGATATTCAAGATATTCAAAATCCCGAAACCTAATTATCACGTCATGTGATGTCGGGGTTCCTATATTCAAACTTTGCTTTTGATTATTCATATATATTACTAATCAATGTTATGAAAAGCACCAGCGTAATCAACAATCGAGGGCGCAGTCACATGATATTCCGATCAATCATGTGATCGATGAACAAAAAATTTAATCTTAATACTGGTGTATACCGTGATAATAATTTATATTTATTGTAATTATGAAACCATTTTTTATACCAAGTTCTAACCATAATATTAACACTGTAATAGTGATAGTGCATACCGCGATAATAATTTATTTTTTATTGTAATTACATTATAAGCAAACTAAAACTATGAGATTGAAAATAATATCGAAACTATTTTTTATACAAAGTTCTAACCATAATATTGTGTATTTATATTGTTATCTTTCCACGTTCGTGGTAATGTACGTCTTCTTTCATGCTGCAAAACATCTTCAACTAAATTTTCAAGAGGAGTTAATTTTTCTTCTATATTATCAAGAAACCTTTGCCGATTATGAAGAACCTTTGATTCATCAAGAATACGTTGCGCCTGAAGATCAATATAAGTACCATTAATTACAGAAATAAAAATATAACATCAAATAAATTAAAATTTACCTTGCTTAGAACATGACATAATCGCATATAGAGATTGGACCCGTTGAGAAAATCTCTACCCGGGTATTATTAAATTACCCGGGTATTATTAAATTACCCGGGTATAATTAAATTACCCGGGTATTATTAAATTACCCGGGTTATCCGGGTAAGTTATTATGATCGTATAGTAACAATTTTTACCCGGGTCCAATCCCTAATCGCATATGTTCTTGTTCAACTATATCCACAGAATTATCCATTGTTTCATATTCATTACTTGTCAAAGAAATTTCATTAATGCTTGAAATAGAATTATCGACTATTGTTTCATAGTTATTTTTTTCAAGATTACAATATGTTCTTATTTCATTCCAAGAATTGAATTGCAACGAATCTGAATATTTAAATAAATTAAAGTTTATTTATTTATTTTTTATTTTTATTTTTTTTAAAAAAAGAAAAGTATATAGTAATACATTATAAAAAAATGAATGCAGTTTCAAATCAATTGGAACTACTAGATGTTTACATAAAAAAATTTGCTTATTGCAAAGTAAAAACATGAACAAAACTAGTGTTCATGATTTGTTAGATACTGGTCGAAGTTACAAGAATATGATGCTAACAAATTTCATTTTGGAATTCTCTTCGCCATGAAGCAAGTTGATGTCCATGGCATAGTAATTTAAATATATCAATTTGATGAATGACAGCCTAAATTAGAATGTTATAAAAAAAATAATTAATTTCAAAATATAAATTAATATAGAAATACTGTACATACCTTTTTTATAACAATGAAGCATAGAAAATCCAAACGGTGATGATTGAACTTATAAAGGTAATTTCTTTTTAGAAATCTCCAATGTGATTCAATCACCATTGTAGTACATAAAATACTAATATCGTCAAATAATAATTGTACCCAAATGTACTACTGCTTTTGAGAATACTATTCACACCAGAGATATGCCCATTTTATAATTAAATTATTATTATGACAATATGTATACATTTCTGTAACACATTTAACCCAGATTACATCTTTATCATTTATAAATGTCTTGTCTTCTTTAGGTATAAGCATGTGCCAGTTAAATGCTTTGTTATAAGATATTTTATTTGCATACAAATTTCTTTATTAGTGAGATGACTTGAATTATTCACATTTGTTTGATTTATTTCATTAAATATAATTGGTTTCTATGAAAAATCTATTATAGGACATTGTTCATATGCTTCAATTGAATTATACCTTACTATTTGCATTTTGCATGTGATGACAGTTTTTGTTCTATTGTATGTTTAATGTCCACAAACATAATTGTATCTTTATGTTAGTCCAAGTTGCCTTTGCTGTATTAATTTGTGACATATTTATATCTGTATAAAATATGCCTATATTAACCAATCCTTTTGCTTTCAATATTGAAAACCATGTTGTAAGAATTTCTGTAATATTGCGATTTCTACCAGGTGATATAAACAAATAAGAGATAGGGAACTCTGCACCATCAATAATCACTATGGCCTCATATAATTCATATTTACTCTTATTGGTGTTATACATTGTATTTACTATAAATTCTATTAAATTACCTAATGACAAAATATCAAGAAATGCAGTCACAAAAGCAAATGCATGTACTTTAAAAAAGAAGTTTTTGTTTCTGTTTCTGAAGATAGAAAAATGGTTTTATAATTTTCTAACAATGCCATTATTTGTTTTTCTTGCTCAACTGTTAATGTACCTAAATTAAAATCTTTTATCCCTTTCTTTTTACTTAAATAGAATGTTTTTAGTTTTGAACGGTTCTTCTTTAAAACACATTCTTTGTTGTTATGCCTTTCTTTAAACTCTCTAAACTTCCAATAAAGGTATATCTTATTTATCAATTTCTCCTCTTCATATTCTTCTTCATCTTCTCTACTGTCTGATTCTGATTCTGATTCTTCATCTATTATATATTTCTTTTCCATATCATTATCTTTAATCTTCAGCTTTTCTTTTTTCTAAATTCGATCAGTAATATTTACAGTCTTGCAATATTTCATAAATACTCTTATTTTCTGTTTTTTATCACAAATCATTAACTCACATTCATCCCAATTTAATCTTGCCCTTGCCTTCTTTAGCCAATAATTACCCACAATTTTGACATAATTTTTGGCTTCTGTTACTACAGCATTAGCAGTAATGGTTTTGCCTCCAACAGTAATAGAGAATTCATTAATCTCACCCAAGGGTCACTTCTGTTCTCTATGTACTCCTATCATGACTACAGTTGAAGGTCAATCAATCAAAATGCTGACTTGTTTCAAAAAATTTACTGAAACAATGCAACATGATGAATCACTACCTATTATCAAGAGAATTGGATGACCTTTTAATTGTGCTTCACAGTATATTGAAGTGGTTTTCTGATTAGCATCCTGTTCAAGGCAAATTTCAGCAACCTTAGTCATGGTTACTCTTTCCACTCTAGTTATCTTTGTAATCTCTTTTTCAATTTTGGGTGCCATTTAAAACAATTGGGCATAGGTAATATCAGCCTTCTTATTTTGTAAATTAGTCATTATAGAACAGGATTAAATATTAGATATTATTAAGAGTTCAACAGGTCTAGTCTTGCTTTTTTTCGCAATTACTTTTCTCATTTTATGCATGTGATCTTTGATGATTTCTTTATCTGTTTCTGAAGTTTCTATTTCTTCTGCTTTATCATCATTTTTTTCTTTTTTTAGTGATATAAACTTCGAATAAAGGTTTCAATAAGAGAATTTCATTATCTAACGCACTCTTACTCTCATGAGGTGTATTCTTTAGTTTAAAGATTCTTCATTATTTAATAGTTAGGCCAACATAGCTTGAGCTCAGTTTATACTATAGTAGGTTGGTTTGCTTTTGGATTTCTTTTCCCTTTAGTTATTCTCTCTCTTTCTACTTCATTTACTAACCAACCAGGATTATTATTATTATTATTTAAGGTAGAATATTCATAAGCAACATGCCTCTGTTGGTAGAATTAAAGCACATGACTTGAGATTGATTTTCACAAAACAGTGCATTATTTCAGTTTCTAGATTAATTTTCTCTTAGTTTATTATTATTTTTTAAGGTTACTACTGATTTCTTTATTAATAATATTAACTCTTTTATAGGGTTTTTGACAAAATCTGCAATAGGTGGTTGAGTTGTTTTACTTGCTGGTTGCTGAAGATAAGAAGCTACAGGATTTATAAAAGGAGCTTAGTTATGCATAATTATGTTTCTCAAAGTGTTAATTCGCTAACTTTAGCTCTTTCTATTGCTGCTTGTATAGTTCCTGTTATAAACAATCTTATCATAAGTATTAGGTCTAGTCATAATCCTTGTACAAAAATCTGCGCTTGCATAGCATCAGAGTAATAATTACCTTCTATGGATATACATTTAAACAAAGCCACTATGTCTACCACATATTGATTGATAGTTTCTCCTACTTTTTGTCATTAGGTAAGCAATTCTGTACTCCATTGACTCATGAGTGTTTGGGTGCAAAAATTTTGTCAAAACTAATGAATAAAACTTGTATTTAAATGAAAATTATCTTCCCAGCAATCAAGGGTCTAGTAATTCTTCTAGTTTTCTACCACATAGCTGTTATTTCTGTTAAATATGCACTAACAACTGCCATTTGGTGATCTCCTTAAATATTATTTGCTTCAAATACACAGTCTACTGACTCTAACCATGCTACTAGGTCTTGGTTTTCTATAAATATGAGAATAGTTATAATGTTAGTTTCTCAAACTTGGTTGTTTTAAAGTATTTGAGGTAAGGTCCCAGCTATTAGTTGTATTAATTGATAAATTTGTTGCTAAAAACCATTTTCTTGATCTTCCTAGTCATTATTCCTATCACTATTATTGTTATTCAAAAACAATTCATAATAGATATGTTATTTTAATTTCAGTTCCTTCTTTTAATTCCAGCTATAGATTAACAGTTGTATCATTCAATTCTACACAATCGGCACCAAATGTTATAGTTGAGTGAGAGAGCTTCTGTATATGAATTCGATTTAGCTTCGATAATAAACAAAAATAGTATTATTTCAGAATTTATTTAAATCACATAATGTACAGTAGAGAAATTTAAGATTAATAATAAAGTTACAGGTTTGAAGGTTTAATTCACACTATAATTAACGTTTAAAATTATAGGACAAAGGTTTTCTCTTTATTAACATTTCTCTCAAAAATTTAATACATTGAATTATACCTTAGTATAAAATACAACTAAACTATAAACTACTGCAAGCCATAATTGTTTTTTCTAAATGCTAAAACCCAACCTATTTATATCTTTAACTTCTTTTAAGACTTTAAGTACTAGATTGAAGCTTTAAGTGCTAAATTGAAAATTTGAGTGCTAGATTGGAGCTTTGAGTGCTAAATTGAAGCTTTAAGTGCTAGTTTGGAACTTTAATTATCCAACCATGCCACACCAATCTTTTCCCAAAATTAAAAATATATATAAAATGATGATAATGAGATACTAATCATAAAAGAAAAAAATATAAAAAATAAAATAAAATAAAAATAATAATAATAATAATTCAGCATATAACAACTATTACAATGTGCTTCTGTGTCAGTATAATTAGGCTATATATTTAGTATTAGTATTAGAGAAGATAAAATTAACTGAAATAATAGAGGCACCTAATTAGAGATGAGAAAAATGTACATTTTATAATAAAATGTACATGAATTTGCATTAATATGCATAAATTGTTTCATGTGCATAATATCGCATGATAAAAAAAAGACAAAAATAATCAAGAGAAGAGAAATTTTGATGGGATAAAATGTGCATGATTCTTCAATCATGTGCATGATGTTATACAGTATATGTAATTGAATCACCTGATATTTTGTTTATATTTTTTGGTCAATAAAAATTTTTATATAATTATATCGAGGTTGTAATTCATGATAATTACTGGGTTAACTCTTCTTAAAGTGTCCTAAAAATATTGTTGGTGATAATAGAAAGATAAGAATTTGAACTAATATCAGATATCATGTGATAGTAAAATTTTTCTGGTAATGCTTGTGAACATAACAGATGTCAAATAACTTGTGACTTTTTTGTTTGATTAATATAGTAATAATTAGCAAAATACAAGCTATATAATAATAGTTTTACCATTGCACTATTATTTTTGTTCTTGTTTGTTATTAAATAGAATTGAAAATGAAATGAATGAATTAATAACACTTCTAAAATCTGCTGAAGGTGGTGGAGCAAATAAACTTGGGATTTGCTATCAATGTAACATTGGCATTATAAAGGATAAAAAGAAGGCATTCGAGTGGTATTTAAAATCTGCTGAAGGTGGTAATTTCCATGGGCAATATAATCCTGGATTCTGTTATGACAATGACATAGACACCACTAAGGATGAAAAGAAGGCATTTGATGGTATTTAAAATCTGCTAACAGTAGTAATTCCCATGAACAATATAATCTTGTATTCTGCTATCAATATGGCATACAGGCTGATGCCAAATGTTTGGGCTGACCAAACCAACAAAATTACTCAGCCCAGTCGACTGGGCTGATCATATTATTAAAAAATTTTTAGTCAAACCAAAATCACAAAACAGTCCTATAGAATGATCTCCTATCAGTAATTTTGGTAAATTTTCAGTAATTTTATTGAACAAATTGCCATAACTCCAAAATTCCTAACAACATGCTCGTGTTGACTGTCTACCATCTCAAATATTTCTGACATTACACTATTTTTTCATTTTAGGTAGCGTTCCCACAAAAAATTAACCATCCTTGGTAATTTTGACTATTCAAAATTTAAGATCAGGTGTTAAAACAAACCTGTTTTGTTTTCTAAGTAAAAAAGTTACGTGTAAAATAAACCATGTTATAGTTAGGGCTAGAATTAGAACAATATAGCACTTATTACAGTATTAGTAAAACATCACGAAAAACATTTTTAGTTAGGTCGCAGAAGGTGGTTTCCTAACTAAAATTTAGAATTATTCTTGTTTTTTGTAAAAAAGTGAGTTTGTTTCGATTTTTACGTCACACCTAATACTAAAATTTGATTAGTAAAAATAACTGGGGTGAACAATTTTTGTGAATAGTTAGGGCATCATTATTTTCGTTAATTCTGGGCCGAATCTATGATTAATTCTGATTTAATTTGATAACTTAGTCAAAAGTTCTGGCAACTTACATCAATTATCTCAGTAACTTACCATTTAGAACTCTACCTTATTTTAGTCACCTGCTTGGCCTGTGAAGATGTGGTTGACTTTCAGATAGCCTGCCCAATAGACCAGGGTCAGCCCGTATCACTAGGAATAGGCACTACTAAGGATAGAAAGAAGATATTTGAGTGGTACAGTCATCTCTCATTAATATCAACCTATTTGGATCGCTCTTATATTTATGTTGATAGTGATATTAATGAGAGAACATATTAAAGTTGATATATATGAGGGAATCTCAATATAATTTTAATATATAAAAATTTATTGTATAGCCTAGGTTGATATTAATGGGGTTGATATTAACGAGGGATGATTGTATTAAAATCTGCTGAAAGTGGTAATTTCCATGGGCAATGTAATCTTGGATTATGCTATGAAAGGCATAGGCACAACTAAAGATGAAAAGAAAGCATTTGAGTAGTATTTAAAATCTGCTGACGGTGGTAATTCTTATGGGTAATATAATCTTGGATTATGCTACATAATTACTAAGGTTGAAAAGAAGGCATTTGAGTGGTATTTAAAATCTGCTGAAGTGGTCATTCCTGTGGGCAATGTAATCTTGGACTCTACTATGAAAAAGGCATAGGCACTACTAATGATAAAAAGAAAGCATTTAAGTGTATTTAAAATCTGCTGAAGGTAGTAATTCTGGGCAATATAGTCTTGGAAATTTCTACGAATACAGCATAAGCACTGCTAAGAATGAAAAAAAACATTCAAGTGCTATTTAAAATCCGCTGAGGGTGGCAATCTTGATGGGTAATATAAGCTTGGATTATATTATAGAAATGGGATTAGAATATTATTTAATCAGGAAAAAGCAAACAAATGGTTGAAAAAAGCAAAAATAATAAATATAAAAAAAGAAATTAATTTTAATAATGAAAATATTGATGATTTCCTAAAAAAAATTTTGCATGAAGTAAAATATTAATACTGTGGATTCCATTTAGTGAATTAGAAATAACAAAAAAAAAATAGAAAAAGGAGGGTTTGCAACTGTGTATTCTGCTATGTGAACACACTCAGTAAAAAGCAATATTATTAGCGAAGGTGTTGCACTTAAATTATTTCATGGATCGAAGAATAGCTGCAAGGAACTTGTAAAGAAGGTAAATGTTTAATGATATAATGTTTATTATTGAATTATTCACATTATTAATACATAAGGTCTGACATTGGTAGATGTAAGGCTCTACGGCTACATAGAGTGCAAGGATCTAATTTGCAGCTCAATGATTATTTGGTATGTAGTGTCTGGTAAATGTTTTAACTTCTGTATCTTATGCCGTTAAACATTAATAGATATAAGGCTCTGTGGCTCAGTAACTGAAAGCAGCTTAATGACCATCAATCAATGTCTAAAGCATATGAGTGCTGCCAAGGCAAAACCTGTAAGCAAATTTTGAGGTATCAATAAGGCGAATTTAACCTTGGGAAAATTGTGGTATTACGTATTAAATCATTGTATACAATCAGTGTTCTGGTTGTTTCTATATCATGTAACAAAACTTAGATCCTAAGCAGGCCTACCGAATAATTGATTTTAGGGCAATTAAATTGCAATTTTTCAAACTCAATTAATTGATTGATGGTGCAGTCACAATTGGTCAATTAATTGCAATGTTACGTAATTAGATTCATATCATATATTTGCCATTAATATTATTAATTACAGTATATACATGTGGTTTTTGATTTTTCATTGTTTAAAAATCGAGTTGCATCAAGCAGCGCTTTATGCAGAAATTGATTTAATTGCATTTATTTAATTTTATGATAATTTTAATTGATTTTAATTGTATGATGTATGGCAAAAATTAATTGCAATTAATTTTTTGGTAGGCATGATCCTAAGTCTTGTTAAATAATGCAATGATTTAATATGTAATATCACAATTTTCTCAGTTAAATCCGCCTTATTGATACCTCCAAATTTGCTTACAGGTTTTGCCTTTACAGCACTCACATGATGCCAATGGGTATTGGCATAGCAGTGCAAGGACCTTAATGAATATATGACATAAAGTCTGCTTTGCGTAAGTATCCTATGTTGATAGGCATTAATAGATTTAACGCGTAGCAGTGCAAGGAACTCTCAATGACTTTATGAATTAGAGTTTGCTTAGTATGATCGTGGCTCAGCAACTGAAGGCAGCTCAATGACCACTGATCAATGGTTTAAACATATGCCGATGGGCATTGATAGATGTAAGCCTCTACAACTGCATAGCAGTACA